CAGCGATCCGCTGAGGGTTGTTGGACTGTTTGCATTTATCCTGCAATATATGCTATTAAGAATCAGCGCATCATACATATGATTCGAACTGCTCGTTGTTCGATTGTCATTAGGCTTTTTTCTAAACTTTCGCCAAAATATCTACAGAGAATTAAGGACAGTTTCGGCTGATTTCTACCCTTTGTCGAAAAATGGGCGGAATGGGGAATACGAAGAACACGTTCGTGAGCTGAAGAGGAACTGAACCCAACGAGCCAATGGCTACTTGCTTTGCGGATTCCAATTTTTATTAGAAAAAGCGTTTGCTGGTTTACACTTCTGCTAAGAGAGGGTGTGTGAATCCGCAAAAAAACATTCACACTGACGAGGTCCAGTTGAAGCACTGAACAGGAATGTATGCGACTTAATGGACCAAAACATTCCTAGTCAGTTTTTTAATCCGATTTATCTTATTCTCCTTCCTTTTATTCCTTCCTTTTAACCCTGCATTTTACACAAACACACATCATCTAAAATTAAAATTACTATTCAGCATTTATGTGCCGCAAGCTAGTGCGCTAGCTACAAAAACATGCAGACATGTGTCGGGCGAGGTAAAAAGAAAAAAGAGCACAGATTCGGCGCTCACTTTGTTGGAGTGACTTTCCCCTACTGTTTCCTCAAACCTCACAAAAGGCGGCTTATTTAAAAACCTGCATTCGTTCAGCTTCAATTCCACAGTTACACGGCTCTCAAAAATTTCTTCTGATATTAGAAGTACAGGTCATTTTTGTTCTGTAATTCGTAAGCTACCGTACCAGACAAATTATTACCCTGTAGAATTTACAGTTGATTGGAAATCATGATTGCGGTACTTTACTGGCCTCAGCTCATGGGAATGCGGTCCAACTTTTACCGGTTAGAGTCGGGGAACGAACGTGGAAACGGGCACCAACAGCTTGCCGCTTGTCCAGTGGTAGTTAGTTATTGTGGGGTGGATCACCAGCTCCGTTGGCAGGTCGGGAAGGGTGCTGGGGCGAAATTGGGGAATCTGCTGAAGTCGATTTAAAGCACAGAATTTTTCAGGTACGCTATGGACGATGAAATAGCTGAATCGTGTGGCATGATGACCGCCGAGTGGTTGACTGAGCAACTGGCCGACTTCATGTACACATTTGATAACGATCTTGGTGGAGTGTTCGTTGCAAAAGGTTCATTTTTCCATGCGTTTTAGCCTGTGCTACGCATAATCCTCGTCGTGATGCGCTGCATTTTCCCGCCTTCGGTACTGCTAGCAACCTTCTGCTTGATGTGACGGGAGCTGCTGGCG